ATTGACATGGCTTGATCAGTCCGTCAGCTGGGTGAGGCTGAATCTCTGAGACCATCCAAATGCAGTTGGCACCCCTCTACCAGCCAAACCCTTGCTGAGAATGCATGCAGAACTTGACCCACGACCAGAGGGAGGGGGACGGGGTGGGACACATACAGCTGAGTGCTACAGTAAGCATGTAAAGAACAGTACTAAAGCAAACTATCAGTTCTTTTGGCCGATGTATTGAAACGTGTGTAAATATCTGTACTAATGGTGGACATGAGGCTAATGCAGCTGGCTCTGTTTAACAGAACAGCATTTATTTACATGACAACAGTATCATATCTCCCTGTTGGGTCTCATTCATGTGAAGATGTGAAAGGCCTCTTTCTTAAGCAAAACGCTGAAAGGGAGATCATTAGTGTCAAAGAACTCGCCCTATGCTTTGACACTCATTAAATCACAGAGCAGCAGCTTCCCACTCACTCTGCTTACATTTTCTGTACATGTCTGCATGTGACTCAAAGCACTGACCTTCATCTGCAGTACATAGATCTTCAGAAAAATTAAAAAAACAAGTAAATTAGGAAAACAGACAAAACGCTTAGAGCAACATGGAAAATACAACCAAAAACTTCACAACACTAAAAGCAGAAAAGATAACAGTGAAACTTTTTTACAGGGTACTTGTAAAACAATAACTGCCATCCAAAAGGCCTTTTCTGATCAACCTCCCCCAATTCCAGCTTCCTCTTTTCTTAAAGTATTTTTTTAAATGAGACTCAACTTCTTTTTTAAATAAATTGCACAATGGGTCCTCCCCATATCATCTGAGATTTACGTCAGACGTAAATTGTTTTGTTTTTTTGTTTTTTTAGAGATACGGAATTAGAGAAGACCGTAAAAGGGGCACAAATATTGTTTATGAACAACAAATGGGCATTTTTCAGTCATAAAAAAGGCACTTGAACATTGTTATTGGGAATCTGAATGGAATATCCATTGTACAAGTCATTGAAAGGTTTGATAGAATGAGGGATCCTGTGCATGCACACAAAGCCAACAAAGTCAAAGATATATGTGAGATATATGCAAACATGTTACAAATGTGTCTTATTTAAGCTAAATATAAATTACTGCATAGGGATTCAGAGTGCTTAAAAAGGGACATCTAGGGCCATAAATGGTTGGTTACAACATGTGTAAATATATCATAGGTTTCAAAGTGAACATTTTTAATGTTATAGTACGCATGTGGCACACATTTGCAATGTTTACTTTTCATAATTTCTGGCATTGCTTCCAATGTGTTTTTTGGAGGAGAATCTAGGCAAAGATGGAAATGAGGTTTTGGAAGAAGTGACAAAGATAAAGTGGATTCCTGACCTGCTGTGCTAGCTCCCGACCCTCAGCACAGAGGTGGAGTTATATTCCTCCCAAGAGGAGACCAAGTACACAGTTCTGGCTCTGTGGGCTTTGCTCTGATCACTTGTAAAATCTAATAGCTCACAAGAAGATGCAAAAAATATCTCTTTGGGGGGCAGACATGAAAGGCACTAAAGAAACTCATGATTTGGTTTCATTGTGTCTGTGAGGGAAGATGAGAATTCCATACTGTTAACACACAGTGTATGTTTACAGTATTTAATGAACACATCATTACATTTCAAACCCATGAGAATGCATTTTAGCTTGGTTTGAGGGTAACCATGTGTTTGCACATAACTAGAACTCATCCTTTGTAGGTGTTCTTGTTAGAAAAGGAATGTGCACATTCAGTCCGTCTCTTGCATTTTTCTGTAAAGTCAGTGGACTTCAGTATCTGGCCTGCTCTATATCTGCATTACAGTGACACTCCTGCATGACCTCACATTTACCTCTGCAGGGGTAACCTCTAAATCTGCAGTCAATGGGTCAACATAATTGAGCAGCAAATCATTATGATAAAGCAGTTCAGTGTGAAGGGTAAAGGCGCTTCTGTGAGAGCACATATAACCCCAGTAAACTCATGCACACTAGCCCCAAATCTTCTGCAAAACTTTGGCCATGATTACACTCTGATGTCAGTGTAAAGGAATGTTTTGTTGACCATGTATCAACCGCTAATAACTTCTTCTCTTGTGCTGAAACTCTGATGACAAATCTAGCTAGAGGCTGCAAAGAAAAGATTTCCAGACTAATAAGGTGTCACTCACATGACTTAGAACGCATTCATTCACAGTGGTATTAATCACAGTGTGTTAATACATTCCTCATTTCAAGATTTTAAAAAACCCACAGTAAACACTGAGAATAATACTTGGGTTCCAGTAGCGATCATAAGGTTAAAACATTCAACCTCATTATTTAAGGTTAAAATAAATCTTATAGGTAAGGCAGAAAAAAAACTTAAACATGAGTATGTGTGTAAGTTTTCTGGAGATGGCGGGAATCTTGCACCAACAGCAGGGTCATATGGCATAAATAGTAACTTCAAAGGACAGAATGAACTTTTAACCAAATTTATTTCATTGAATTTTGTGGAAATTGCATCTTGCAATGCTTAAGTGTCCCACAAAGTCTGCCATGTCAATTTGAAAAAGAAAAAAACACTGAATCTAAGAACGAGCACTATAAACTGTTAAATGAAGTTAGACGCCATGGCGGTCAGTCCTTTGTTCTTGCTCGGTGTTAGATTTGTCTTCAGCCTCAGATACTTGACATCAGCATGGTGATCTTGTTTCAAATTACTACTTGTGGTGCGGACTTGTTGCATGAGTAATGTGCAGATATGAGAAGATGTGCACAGGACAAATGTGGGGGTGACGTTTACATTTACCATACATTGAATAACTTTTATCCTGACTTATACAAGACTGCTTTGTTTCAGAGAGACTGTTTCTATCATTAGAAACGTAACTTTCAATCGTTGCATCCTTATGAAAAAATAGGAAGTTCACGCATCAATATTGGAGCTTGCCCTCAGATATTGTTTATTATATTATGAGAATAGCCTTGAAACTCCGGTGTGGCTGCTGAATAACTGAACCTATTGACAAAGGTTTACTAAAAGAATTAGAAGTGCATCGAAATGGATCAAATAGCAGAAAACATGAACATTAAAAATACAGGACAAACATACATAAACAGATTAACAAACATTCTGTGAAATAAGAAAATTTTAAATGTCAACAAACTTAGACTGGATTCGATCATTCTCTTTATCATTGCCCCATGCACTGGCCTCAATACTGGAGATTATTTCCAGACCCTTGCTTAATAGTTTGTTCTAATTAGATATATAAAATGTAGGGGACATATCTCTGATAGGATGAATAGAGCCTGTTTATGGTATAAAAACGAGAAAAAAAAATCACACAGCAGATTTGGCAGAAAAATGTGTTTTTCATTAAACAAGGATAAACACACTGGCTGGCACTGAAGGTATGTCTAATCTGTGCCAAACACCCTGAAGGCAACTGATGTCAAAATGACGAGCCAAATCCCTGCAACTGCAAAGAAAACAAATAGAAAGTTTCAACACTGCTTTATGTCCAAACTACAAAAGCAAAGTTACAAAAATCACTGATGACATGTCATAATTTAGCTGTTGACTTCCAACAGTCAATACTGGAGTCAAAGTTTTATCTAAAGATCATTTCTCCTGCTTAGATGATTAAAGAACCTACAGAAAAAAAAAAGAATTAATGTTATACACTCTCTTGTAAAGTTCACAATGTAACGCTGAATTTTTTTGCCAACATTCATCTGCTTGTTATCACTATAAGTCTAGTCTAAGATCCTACTTAGGCGTGAAAAGAGGACCACCCAGCAGTGTGGGTAATTTAGTTTGCACGATAACAGCACACTAGGACTGCTTCATACCAAAGTTGTACTATGTTAAACTTGCAAAACAATAAAGACAGAAAGCCTGTTGCAGGGCTCCCTCTTGTGGTGGAGCAGCATTGGACACTGAACATTAGATGGCAGTGTTTGATGAAGACTTCAACAACAACTGGACTTTTGAGCTCAGCTGAACCCACAGTTTGAAATAATGAGATGAGATCAAACCATTAGATTTTCAGGATAAAAGCTAAAGATCTTTTATAACATGTTTTTATTACCCGAACATCATCAGATTAAGAGAAAAAAAGGGTGTTTTCTGTTTTATTTCTACCATTTTCACATTTTGAACAATTAACACAATAACTCACATTTCTCGACTGCAGTTCATTCCCCTTGAATGATAACAATGCAAGTACGCATTTGCTGAGATGCTGAGTATGGGCCACTTCAGTTGGACATTTTTATGCCCGACTGAAGTGGCCCAGATCCAGCATGAGAAAAAAAAGGCAGTGCGTGGGTGGGATGACTTTTAGACCTCACGTCTCATTTCCAGCGGACCGTCTCTAAGACTGCAGGAGACTCTCACTTTGAAGTGGGATTAACATGCATGAGTACAGAAGGTTAGAGGTGTTGCCTGGCTATAGCTGAGAGGTCACTCAACTGTTTTTACTCCAGAGCGTGAAAATAAGACACAGCCTTTAAAGAGTTTAAAGGGAGCAAAAATACCTCAGATGCCCAACGGAGCATGTTTTGAACAGGACCAAAAAAAAAATCAAACAAAGAGCAACTGCAGCCTGCACTGTAATTATTTCCTCGCTTTGAACTGAAAAAGACAAATGACCAGACTAAGGGCCTTATTGGCCTTGAGACTTGAACTCGTGGCATCTCGTGACGGCACTGATCCTTCCTAATTTGTTCTGGCATCATATGTCACCTCCCTGAAATCATTATTAATAAAACACAATGCCTGTCTATGAGTATCAATCAATCATCTCAGACACAGCTAAGCCTGCAGATCAGGGCGGGTCAGCAGCACAAATGAAAGGTCCCAGCTGCTGAACCACACACACACACACACAGTGTTTACAACCCACCAGAGGGCAATGTTTGGTATCTCAGCTCATATGACAAAGGGGATGCTAATGCTCAATAAAAACGTATGTTTTCTCAAGCACAGTTTTAGTTACTCACTCTGTGGGAGGGTTGAGGTCCTCTGAGTTGGTTTCAAAGAACTTAAGGACCTCCTCACTTTGGGAAATGTGGGAGGGAAGCTTCATCAGAGCCTGTACGAGAAAGGAGAAGGAAATGGTTGGAACATCAACACAAGTTCGACAGATTTAGAGTCAATTAATTCACACTGGTAGATGACTAATGGCGTTGTCACACTTTGTGCAGTGAGATCAGAGAACCTGGCAGTGATGTAAAAGCTGTGTATGGGAAGGAAGAGGGCTCTGGGCAGAGGCAGAGGGACAAGACAAAGGAAAACACATGGTGATATAGTGAGAGAACCAGCTCCATGACCTTTTCATTATTCAGTTTCAGTCCACTGAACAAGAAACTAAGAAAGACAATATCTAAAGTAAAGCTTCCTGCCTTCATAATAAATCCCCACTAAATTAAACCCACTGCTCTACTTGGCAACCCACCTGCCTCACATTCCCTTCTTTCCCCCAGTGGATACGAGAGGGGCACGGTTACTACCACACTTGAACGTACATCTGCTGATTCATTCTTATCCCTGTGTGCCGCAGTTCCTTTGTTTCCTGCCCTTTTAGATTGGTGACAGGAAATGACCAGGGCACATATAGCAGTTGCTTTCCTGTTGAAGCTGGTGTTGGAGATTAATGCTGAGCCCTGCCTTGAAAATATTGAGGCCAATATTCAATGACCGCGACATGCTCTTCCAATCAAAAGACAATAGGAAGCTTGTCCTAATAGTGCCAGTAGCAAACTGTGGGGAAAGAAATATTGTTGAGGATTTTGTGAGGCCCCTGGCTTTTTTGTCTTACTTTGCAATAATTATCCAGGTGTTTCAGCCTTCTGACGGCGACATCTCGGATGTGACTGCGGCGAAACAAGACTTTACCTGAACAGAAACAGAGCACTGTCAATTAACACAATCTCAAAAAATCAAATGTTCCAGTTTTGAGAGTTTGAAACTCACACGCCTATAAAAAGATAAAACCATCCCTTTTTTCATGACACTGATAACAACTCCAAATGTTTTTGTTTTCAGTTACTGAGCAGTAGTGTTTGATTTAAAATCTAAGATATATGAAGTTTATAAGAATAAATATAAGTCTGCTGCTACCACATCAGCAGCTTAGAACCAAGTTTAAATGAGTGTTTCTAATGTTAGAAGCCTAAACTGTAAAAGGCATAGTCTACTAAATATGTTTGAATTTCTTTATCAAAATTTTAGGCAGCCTCTGGACATCAGCAATGTGTCATATATTGTCCCACACAAACATTTTTTCCCACATTTGGTTTATTGGGATGTGTTCATAAATTAACATCTTTTATTAAGGTAGACATTAATGGAACAAAGAAAATCCCTCCCCTAGTTTCTCAGTCTAAACAAAACTCTCAGAGATCACCATGGACTGACCCCTAACAGCATGCAATTGTATTAAACCTGCTTTCATGATGTGTCTGCTGTCTCTGAGGGCGTACAGCTCACCCCATGTTTGGCTTAAAGAGAGATCAAAACAGCACTGAGCAGACACTGGTAACACTGCTTGTCTAACAAAGGATCTCTTCACTACTCCCTCTCTTCTATGGCCCACAATGAGTTTATCAGATTAAAGAAATCTCCTTCTGCAAAACCTCCTACTGACATGGCTGACCACAAATTGATTTGGCCTGGTGGAATATGGAAGTTGATTAAACTATACGATGTTGTAGGCTGTGCTATGGAGTTTGTAGATGCACCAACGGACTGCAGTTGTCAGTGAAAATGTATTTCAGGGCTCATAAGGATTGCAGACCTTTGTATTTATCTAAAACAGATTGTGATACTGACAGTTATACCAAAGAGGAAAGAGTGTTTTGGGGTTTTCACCTGGCAAAAAAGGAATGATTCTCTTTTTTGGGTCCTTCTGTCCTCCCTCAATTGGGAATTTGTCAAGGATTCGCATCTGTAAATGATGGTGAGAGTAAATAGTGTTACAAACATCAGTTGTTAAAACAAAACTCAGAAACATTCTAAGAAACACAAAAAGGTATATTTCACTATAATAAACCTAAACTGTCTTTTGTCATGTGTCTAAAAGATTAAGCTAAGAGCTAAACAAAAAACAACACATTATGAACTTTCAGTTGACCTCATTGTTACAGTACATGGATTCAACAGTGTAAATACACATCATCTGAACAACCGTGCAGCTTAAGACAGTCTCAGATGATCACTGGGGCAGCAGATGGGCAACATCCATTTAAGGGGCTTAAAAGCCATTAGGATAGATAATGGATAATTAGCACTTTGATGTTAACACTTGATACATCTGTCCATTTACTGGATCGATCTCTTGAGAGATTAGGGCCTGGACAGTGAAAAGAAACAGCATGCAGTGCAAATAACTTAATGATGCAAGCATCTACCCAGAATTGTGTGCATCCATCCTCTGTGTGCAAGCATCATATGCTTCACATTATGCATGATGTGTGAGCATGTTTTGGCGAAAGCTGCAAATGTATCAAGTATGCATCTGTGTCACAGACAAGAGTCTCTAGTTTCCTCTTTATATAAATTACACCCATATCATGAATGTACTTGAGAGCAACCCACAGTATCTATGGGCTTGAGAGCCAGATGTAACCCCGCCTCTGATAGTTTTTGTCTTGCCTTACTCCAGATGTGCTCAGTCAAACAGCAAGCGTCAAGCTAAATCACACTCAGCTGAACGGGGGACCAGGAGATAAGTCTGAGTCTAAATTGAGCCAAAAAAGAACCAGGTGGACAAACACAATCCAGTTTGGTGGGTGACATTGGATCCAGTCTGTCTGGGCCTGTAGGAGTTGTTTGTAAAACGTCTGAAGTAAGAGGTGGTTTTGTTTCCCATACTGTGGTTCTTTTTTTTTCTAATCTCATCTGCTGGCTTTGCTAAATCCTAAATTTTCACTGAGAGCATGGCATTTCCCCCCTCCTCTGAAGTATGCACAACCAGCAAAAAGTGGTTTTCTTTAGAAGAAAAAAGACATCTTTATTGTGTTTTCAAGGGAAAGCAAAGGGCTGAGCGCAAAGAACAGTCTTGGTAAACCAAACCTGCACACATGGACACAGTAGTATGAAATATGATCTTACCAAGATTAGAGTTTTGTTCTCCTGAAACTGAGAGGGTTAGAACTGAAATATGTACACAAACCAGACTGTTTTTCTTAAGGATACATTGACAATGACACAGTTTTATAGCAAGGCTTGCAATTTCCAAAAAATCCCAGTTGTTATAACAGTACATTGGCAGCTGTACTGTTTATATGACACACCAAAGTGCACACTCAGCTTCACAGCTGACCGTAGTCGGACACTCCCTCAAAGTCGGGAAAGTTAACTCGGCGCTGAGAGTTAGTCTTTTCCTCCAGAAGTGAGGATGACATCACCCGACAGGCCCTGCCCGTGAGTGTTCACAGGTGTAAAAGCCATTACTATAGCAACAGCCAAACAACTTGGAACAAAACTCTGCAGGAAAGTATTTCTCACATTTCATATATCTTTCATTCAGATAATTCAGGGACCAGGGAAGCTGTAATTAATCTATATTTCTTTCCTTAACTCCGTCCAGGAAAGCCCAGTGTATTAAACTGCTGGATACCCTCTGGGAAAATAAATACATTTGTGCAGTAACAGGTGCTATGATGTAATCACCTGATTACTTGGAGAATCATAGAGATTATTATAACTGTTGAGAATAAACTCTTGAACCTGGAAACAGTAGAAATTTGAATTAAATTGAAAAGGGAAAACAGCTTCTGTAAACGGTAGTGATGATTAATTGAAAGAGTTTTACTTAACAGCACTCACATGAGAAAACAGGGAATACAGACAAAGAGCCTCGCTTTGTCTGTGAAGCAGACAAAGAAACTGTTCTGAGAGGAATTTCAGACCAGGGGGAGTTATGAGGAATTTTTGAGTGGGAAAACAATCTCATTCCATTTCTGAATTGTGCTTCAACACCTACTTAATGGTTGTTTACTGCAAAGAGATCATGGCGCAACGATCTTTGCACAATGACCTACAATAACTCGTTTCCTTGGAATATTGCATCATTGGTAGATGGATTAAGATACTATGTCTGATCAGATTTTGTTGCTTAATGGAGGATATCATTTATTTCTTAATTGAGAAACCGAATTAGTTCATCATTAATGTTGATGACCTAATAGTTTAAGATAAAGCAAAAAATGTTAAATACTTGCTCAGGCGGCTTATACTTACCTATTTGTTCTAAATGCATTAACATACCTTCCAGATAACATTATTGTACAAATAATCTAGTATTCCAAGATAAATTGCAGGTAAAAAGGACTTGTGGAAGAGATTTATCCCCATGGTTCAACTTCTCTATGCTGAAGGATATAATAAAGGAAGCGATAAACATTTGGATTCCAGTGGCTTTTATCATGGTTGATTTAAATACTTCCCCAAAACTCTTCAGTTGGGAGCCTTGCAAAGCCTTCAACTGCATCATTAAAGAGAATGCCTTTGCATAAAACCTTCAGACGATATAGTGGGATAAACTGTACAGCATTTAAATCACTTCAACTAGTGGCAGATCAAAATGGTGACTGTAGGTTTGGACATAACAAAATGTGGGAGTTGGAAAGAACGGTAAGTGTCACACCCTTATAGCTTTTTGCTCAACTGTGTGTGACACATGCAACTCAAAGCTTTCCTGCCTACACAGTCAGGAGTTTAATGCTTTGGAAACCATTATCTATGATCTTTCCTTTTTTTTTGCCTGTATACGCAGTGTTTTTTTTAAGTTCCAACTTATGTCAAGAATGTAGGTCTGAAAATGTAAAACAAAAAGTAGACCAGTGGACTCTGGCTCAACTCCAGAATTCAAATATAATGACAACTTAGGGGTCTTGGAGAAGTCACTGTCCAAAAGCAAAAGCAGGCCAGCTAGCACTCTCCACAATCCCCCCTGGAATGCTGTGACTCGTGTGCTCTATTCACTGTGGTTGAAGGGTGTGCAAAGAGGGGCGGGGGGGGGGGGGGACTCAACAGTCCTGCTTATATCAAACCCCTTCAGGTCTAGAATTTCCTTTTGACACCAGAGAGAGCATCAAATAGGCCACAGGCTTAGCACCAGTAAACTGGTAAAAAGTTTCAGCAAGTAGAGATCAACTCTGCATGCAAGTCATTCATTCATTTCGGTCAGCAAAAAAGACAAAGAGTAATAATATTCAAAATACGACAAAAGTGATAAGGTATCATTTGCTAAATTGTCTCCAACAGTAGAGTTATGGTGAGCTCAACTGCAAAGTGTGAAGCATTGCCGAATCTTGCTCTTTGACATGTCTGAATAAATCATTTTAAATATATATACATTTATACATAACTATGTAACTATACTATTCCCTTGTCCATTTTCTATGGTCAGCTGCAGACTGTTGTTTTTCACAGAGTACTGTGGCCAGACAAACACACCTGGGCAGCACCAATCTATGGACAAGACCAATGTTTACATAGACAGTAGAGAAGGTCTGCTTCAATCAAACAGACCAGGGCTGAATTTTCCTGACTATTAGCAAGAGACTAAAGAACAAAGAGTTTCCTGCAACCAGTCCACTGGAGCCACAGGGCTGTAGTGCAGTCTGGCTGAGACAGATATCAGACAAGAGCAAGGAAACTACATAATGTAAGTGTCCAATAAGTGTCCATTCATTTAGGTTTAAACCTCCACACTGTTTGTTAAAGTTTAAATTTATTCTCTTGCAAATAAAAAAAATAAATTAAATTAAATAATTCACTCAGAGATTCAGAATGCTGCATTCTACATTCTGGCTGAGGTCGTGTTTTTCCTTGCATCTACTGACTGGATTTTCCCCCATTTCCCTATTTCCGAACTGTCCTCATAAATGAGATCTTTCACAAAACACGCTGCCTGCAGAAGCTAAGCAGAAAGAAGTGACCAAAAGGTCAATCTGACGTCAGAGGGTACAATGTGGCAGTATGATGAAGATATATGAAGGCGATTCCTGACAGAAAATGTCAAACTTAATGGCTTTTGAGCAACGTCCAGCGCAGCTGTGAACGGAGTCTGTGAAAGAATTCTGATAGTGTGCTGGTGCAACATACCTGCAAATCAAAGAACTTGCTGTATCTCCGGTAGATGACATGGGACGTGGAGTCTGAGTAGGTGACATTGATCAGGTACACCTAATGTGGAGAGGACAGAGAAAACAGGATAGTGATGAACAGTTTCTCTTTGTCAAAGACACCATGGCACCACTTTAACTCTCATGACTTAATTTCAAAGGTCCTCAGAGGTTAAACAAACTCATTAAGTTCCTCTGTTTCAGTTGCAAATTCAATAGCTATCAGGAGGTCAATAAGAAGGTCAAAAGATTTCATGCATTAGGTCACTAAAGCTTTTCATGATTAATTAAAGCACATTTAAACTTAAGTGCATTTGATTTTAGATTGTATTTCTATCTATCTATCTATCTATCTATCTATCTATCTATCTATCTATCT